AATGGGAGAATTCCCCAGGGATGAGGGGCTGGGAATGGGAGAATTCCCCAGGGATGAGGGGCACCCCCTCAGGGATGGTGGAGTGGCCGAGGTGGTGCCTGATCAATCTGATCTGAAACAGAGGCCAGACAAAGTTAAGAGAATGAGAATAGACAGCTTTAATCCAGGCCTAACAGGTACATCAGGGCAGACAAAGCCTCCTCCTGAGGCTACACCCAAAATGGACACTGAGTCACGAAATCCTCACCTTTTATAAGTTCTGCCTCATTAACAAATTGGGTGTTAATTCTCCAATGATCTTTACAGGTGATGATGTCACCCACCCCAAACTCACTGCTGTTTCCATATTTTGGGGCTCTGAGGTGTCCTTGGATTCAGCTCAGAGAGGGATTGTTTTGTCTAAAGATGAGAGAACGGGAGTTTTAGGGAAGTACAAAATACAGATGCATGAAAATACAGAAACGAAAAATCCTAAAGGATCAAAGTGGCTCCAAGGGCTCCCAGAACCTTCCTTGGGAGGCAGCGAAGTGGGGATGGGAACCCGGAGCTTTTCCATGTGAGCATTCCCAGAGCAGATCCTCGGTGTTCCGGTCCCAATCCCGCAATTCCCGGGTGTCCCCTCCCTCCTGCTCGCTCCCCTGGCTCCCAAAATCCATAAATCCCGCAGGAGATGGATGGCTGGCCCTCAGCACATAAATCCCAGCCCAGATCCCGGTGTGGCACAGCCAGGGGGAACTGTTTAAATCCCAGGAATTGAGGCTGGAAAGGTCCCTGCTCCAAGGGATTCCCCATTCCCACCAGGAATGTCCCTGCTCCAAGGGATTCCCCATTCCCACCAGGAATGTCCCTGCTCCAAGGGATTCTCCATTCCCACCAGGAATGTCCCTGCTCCAAGGGATTTCCATTCCCATCAGGAATGTCCCTGCTCCAAGGGATTCTCTGTTCCCACCAGGAATGTCCCTGCTCCAAGGGATTCTCTGTTCCCACCAGGAATGTCCCTGCTCCAAGGGATTCTCCATTCCCACCAGGAATGTCCCTGCTCCAAGGAATTCTCTGTTCCCACCAGGAATGTCCCTGCTCCAAGGGATTCCCTGTTCCCACCAGGAATGTCCCTGCTCCA